AGTCGAACGACCAGCCCATCATGAGCCCCACGATGCCCCCGCCCTTCTCGCCGCACTTGCCCGCGAATTCCTGCGCCGCCGAGGCCCCAGAGGCAGCCGCCGTCGAAGAAAAGCACTTGCCCCACTCCTGAGCGAGGCGCGTCGCCCACTCCTGCGCCTCGGGCGTGCTGAGCACTGGTCCTGCATGCCCCCGCGAGCCTTCAGCGCCGTCGCCAGCTGGATGCGTCCCACGACGTTCCCACCTACTATCGCACCGACCGCCTTCTCCATCAAGTGGCAGTGCTGCGCAGAGGAGATCAGCGGCTTGATCTCTGGGGGGAGAGCACCGCGAATATCCAATATCGTCTGCATGTACTGCGGAGTCGCCATGCTGCAGCCGTCGGTGGAAACCACGCCCGAAACGACCTTCGAACGGATGTCTCGTAACCGCTCGCCCATCCCACAAAGTCCTGTATCCTTGGTATGTGGTCACGCTGCGTCCCGTCCCATCCTCTCCTTCCCCTCCTCCGCCGTCGACCGATTGCCGCCTGGCATTTTCTCCTGGCGGCAGTTCCAAAACAATAATGGTGCGAGCGGCATCGGGGACATGCACGCCCACCTTAGTTATCGGATGGCCAACGCCAAACGAAGTCATTTTGCCGTTGTTCGAGAGCTGGGGCGCCACCTTCATGGCGGACTCGATCTGCCAAACGCCACTCCACACAAGGATCGTTTTCTCTGGCGTTTTGTCTGCGCGGGATTTGATCTGGTTCACTTCGAAGGCAATTTCGCAGCGTGTCATGGTCTTCTCGATGGTGGATCTCTCCGGTGGACCGATCTCGAAATTTAAGATGACGTGGACTATGAAGTACAACAGTTTGATCGGACCCACGCCCCCCCCCCCCGGTTCCCCTCGCGGTAAATGGCGCGGAAGTCCCCCGATAAGTAATCGAAGTGAACGCCCGAGAACTCGGCCGCGGTGCACATCGAATTCACGAGATTGTCCTTCATCGAGATGGCGTTCTTGATGTCGCTGGTCATGGGGCAGTCGGTGTCGTCGATGCTGTTCATGCATGTGGCAAGCTTATCCAACACCTCGCAATGACGCTAATCCGCAGCAGCAGCCCCAAGTACCTCCCAGGAGGTGGTAATCGTTTCGTCCTCCTCGGAAAGGAGATCGGTAGACTCCTGCGCCGAGACGCGGGTAGCGATCGACTCCGTAAACGCCTTCACTTTGTCGAAAACATCTGCGGCCACACTGCAATGCCAAGGATCCCCGTCACCAGCCGGGATCCTATCCCAGGCCGCCTTGGCCCAGCTCGCAATGCCTCTGCTCACGCGGATGTGGCAACGAAAACGGTTGAGCAGTTTGTCTTCTTTGTCATTGCGCAATTGAACCCCAATGACACGAAGCTCCCTCGGGGGCTTCTCGTTCGCGTCGATCTCTGCGGCCGCGCCGAAGAACCGAAGGGCGAGCAAATCGGCAAGGCAAGACGGAATCCAACCAGTCTTCTCGTCAATCTCTTCGCTCGTGGTGTCCAAGGCCGCCAAAACCGAGTACGTCCCGATGGCGCCCTCCCCACCCTTAGGGTAGCTAAGCCGCCACAGTGCCAATAATGATAATAACAATAATATCAATACAAGCAATAGGAATACTAATACAAACAATAATAACAAAAACAACAGCAATAACAACAATAACAACAACAACAGCAAAACCAACAACAACAACAACAACAACAACAACAACAACAACAACACCAACCACAACCACAACAACAACAACAGCAGCAACAACAACAGCAACAACAATAACAACATCAATCACAACAGTAAACTATTACTAATACTACGAAGACTAATCATAGGAGTACTAATAATAATACGAATAAGCAGACTAATAATCATAATTATTGAAATAAGAACTATAATACGAATGAGAATACAAATGATAAGACGAACAATAATAATCATCAAACAACTGAACAAATACCAAGAAAATAATAACCGCAAGGAAAAAACGAGGGTGGGGAGAGGGTGGAGGAGCCCTGCTCCGCCCGAAATCCGCTCAGCACTGGAGACAAAAAGGCCAGCGGAAGAATACAGCGAGGATAAGCGAGGGTGGGGGGAGGGTGGAGGAGCCCTGCCCCACCCGAAATCCGCTCAGTGCTGGGCGCTGGACCCCCCATCCTGGCCCGCCCTTCGGGCCCCCGGGGCAGGTCTGGCCATGCGACGATGCGCTGTCTGCGCCGTGCGCTGCCCTGGCAAGGCCCCGACCCCGCAAGCCCTATGTGGGCCAGCTGCTCGCCCATGGAAGCCAGCTGCTCACCAGCAGGAGATCGACTGCAGAGTTGGCTCACCCCAGAATTGAACGGCCCGTCGGATCTTCGCAGACGGCGCAGGATCTGCGCGGGTCTGCGTGCACTTTGCGCATCCTGCGTAGGTCCGACGACTGTTTCAAGTCTGGGGGAAGTCCATGCTGTAGCCGAGCTCCGTCTCGAAGCTTGATGGCCCCAGCGACCAGCGGGAAGCCCAGTGGCCCTCCCGCGCGGTGCACGAGCCAGGCGTGCCCGCCCGCGAGCTGGGCCTAGGGCGACGAGATCTATGCATATCCACTGCTCCTGGCCAGGCCAATCCTGGGCCCAGGAGCGGTGTATACGCCCTCCTGGCCTGGCCAGGGAGGCATATACACAGCTCCTGGGCCCAGGATGGGCCTGGCCAGGAGCAGTGGATATGCATAGATCTCGTCGCCCTATGGGCCGTTCCCGCGGCCGGCCGGTCGCGGCCACCGCCGCCGCCGCGCGCGGCGCCGCCGCGCGGCCTCGAGCGCCATGAACGCCGCCGCCGCCGCTGCCGTCGCCCCGGGGCCCCTGGAGGGCCACGAGGCTCGTACGGTAGGTTCGTGCGGCGTCGACGCGCGCAAAAGTTTTTGACACCGCGTCGATCGTTCAGCCTTGAATCGATCGCGTCCCCGATCGCTCAAGGTTGAATTCCACCAGGCCCAACGGCGTTACAATGTCCTTCGGTGCTTCCGCGTCGTTCTATCATGAGGCATTCAACCTTGAACGCCTTCGCCGGCGTCGCGGGCGCGCCATCGCCGCACGAACCTACCGTAAGCGGTGGCACAACTACCCTGGACCCTCTGCTCCTGGAGTTGCCTCCTGCCCTGGGATCCGACGACGCGAACAAAAACCACGACCAAAACACCACACCAACATCTTTTGAGCCGGATCGATCGGTGATGGTCCCTAGGCCCGACATCGTACAAAACGCCCTGATCGAAAAAAAGCGACGCCGGAATCTCAGGGTTCGTACCTGACCTTGAATGTTCGAGACGACGGCCCACATCCGCTCAGAACTGGAACCTCCAGGAGCACCCGAGAGGCGTCCAAAACAAAGACGTCGACGAGTTGACGAATGGCCGCCGCCGCCGCCGTCGCCCTGGGGATCCAAGCGTTGCAACTCTCTCACACTAAGCGTTTTCGCCCATTCTCGGGCCCCAGGACCATCACAGGTCGATCCGACTCAAAAAATGCAGCAGAAAGATGGGGTCTAGGCCTCGGGCCGTGATTTTTCGCGATGCCATGCGGCTTTTCGCAACGCCGGATCTTGAGGACTGCGGCGGCGGCGACGGCAAACATCCGACGATGTGTTTTTGTCAGTGCGCGGTCCCCGAGATCTCGACCGCTTTCTTCGGTAGCCAAATCGTGGGAACACTGTATGCCCTCGCAACTCCGTCTTTAGAGTGCACTGGGTCGATCAGCGTCGGGTGATCGATGGGATAGCGCTGGATTAGCATCGACTAGCGCAGATCAGCGTCGATTGGCGTTGATCGGCGGCAGCTTTGCCTCGATTGGCGTCGGCTCGCAAGAGTCAACAAGACGGTATGGGGTGCTGCCACGAACTGCCACCGAGCCCTTCCCGGGGACAGCCCAGAACGCGAAACCTATATTCGAAATACAAGAGCCCTGCTGCACCGGGGCCCGAGGGGTCACTGGCCGGCTCGTCATCCCGAACCATCTTTTGGCGGCCCTGTGGAGCCCGCAAAACCGGCACGGGAGGCCAAAACCTGCAAATTTGACTTCGCCTTGACTCTATATCAAGACGCTGGACGCGCGGCCCAAAAAATACCGGCCCCCACTCCCAAGGGGCAGTTTCGCTTTCGCTGCGGAAAAATGTTTGATCGTCCTGGGGCCCGATCGCAAGTCCTGGAGGCTGAAAACGAAGAAAAATGCCAGATTTGTTTCGTTTGTAATTGTTCGTGCTTGTTCGCTGTTGACACAAAACATTTGACGCGGAGGTACCCGTATGTGCATCTCATTTCCTGGCACGTCCCGCTGTGAGTGTCTAGCCGTGGTGTCTTGGTGTGAGAGCGGGTCCAAGTGGACCACGAGTATGAGGACGACGGCGACGCGACGGCGACGACCGACAACAACGACGACAACGGCGGCTACGATGAGGGACGACGACCACAACAGCTCACAGACAGACAGGAGGTGAGCAGGCACCCTCCCCATCTCCTTCCTCTTCCTCCTCGTCGTGCACCCTCTCTTCTCTTCCTCCCTCCACCCTTTTCCTTCTTCCTGCGCCCTCCTCCTTCCTCCACTGTCCTCCATCCTCCGTCCTGGCGGTCGTCCTGCTCCTTACATCGAAATGGTATTGGGGCTCTGGACCGAACACATTGCTCCATACATCCCCACGATCTGGCCGCCTGGGGTGCCGAAACCAGCGCCTCGCCCGAGATCCTCACAATCTGCTCTGACAGCAATGAAGCCCAAACCACCAAACAGGCAAACCGCCGAAGACATCCCCACAATCTGGGCGTGACCGCACCGTGAAATACTCCCTGGTGGCTCCGCGCTGGGTTGCTGAAGCCAGCGCCTCGCTCGAGACATCCTCACAAGTTGAGTGCGAGGTGAGCCTGAGTGAAATTGGTCCATGTGGGCGAGTCTGAGTGTGAGCGAGTCTGAGTTTGAGAAGTGAATCGGAGTGCGCGCGTATCTGAGTCGGAGTGCATCTGAGCATGGGCGCATCTGAGTATGAATGAACCTCCGTGTTGAATCTGTCTATAAGTGAGTCTGAACGTGAATATGATCATGCGTGATGTCACTGTGAGTTTGTGTAACCACGATTGATTTGAATGTAAAGGAAATGAGAAGGAGGCGGGAGTGAATCAGTGAGTGACTCAGAGAGCGGAGGCATCCCAGTAAAATCAATAACCCCAGACAACCATCGTGCTACCATGAGGAACGACGCATAAGAAACGGAGGGGTTTTCCTCGCCACGGCGAACCTCGGCCACGAAGGGGTTCCCCGACCAAGACCTGAGGAACGGCCCGAAAACCAAAGGCCTTCTTGAACCCAAAGAGGTCCTTATGTCAGCGTCTTAGCTGTTTGTAGGATATAATCAGATGTCCGCGCGGATATCTTGGATCGGCGCGCGCCAGGGGCGGTGCCAGAGGCGCCGCCAGTGAAGGGGGGGGCAACGCCGATCCAAGAGGCCGGGTTCCAGGGTTTCCGGTTCCGGGCTCCCCCGTTCCCAAGTGCTGGTTCCAGGCCGCGTTCGTTGGGCGGCGGGGTTCCCAAGGCTCCAGCTTCTGATTCCCGAGTTCCTGGGTTCCGGGTCGATCTGATTAACGATGTCGCCATCGATCTCACCATCCATCTGACCCAATCGATCTCACTATCGATCGCACGACCGATCTCACCATCGATCTCGCTGTCGATCGCAGTATATCACGATCGATATCAAGATCGATTTCACGAGCGATTTCACGGTCGATGCCACGACCACTCTCACTGCCGGTATCACTATCGATGTCATCATTGATGCCATTATCAACGTTACTCAATCGATCTCGTTACCGCAATCACTATTGATCCTCCGTGGCCTGTTGGGTCTCCATGCGCAGCGAGCCACATCGCAATGAAAATCAACAGTTTAAAAAGCGAAAGGCAGGGAGGAGGGGAAAGGAGAGACTTGAGCAACAGAGTCATCGGAACGGATGCTAAACTCCAACATCGAACCGATGGCGGGGGCCCGCTCGCATTACTCTGGATGCCCGTTCAAAGAACTACTATCCTCCGTGGCCTGTTAGGTCTCCAGGGGAGCCACGCTTTTCTGCGCGAGCTAGATCCGAGCCTCCATCGCGGCCTCGAGCAAGGAGCACGAGGGCCACAGTCATGGCGAGGTATCTGCACAGCGAGCCACATCATCCATTACAAGCATAGCATGTACTGGCACAGCCGCCACCACAAAGTGCACTCCACATCCGCTCGAGACTTGCATGTTGCACTGAATTGAACAACTCGGCGGCAGCGTTCTGGCACAGGGCCGTCATCATGGAACCTTCCAACACAATGTGAGGTCGTCCGGTCCGTGAGCATAACCCATTGCGGCCACTGCAAACGCGGCGCAAGCCGCAGAGACTTCCCACGCGCCAGCTCTGCAGGCGAGTCCTCTTCCGAAAGGCGGCCCCGCACTGGCAGTAGTCCAAGATCACCGGATTTCCGGCGGGGGCCTCGCAAAATTTGCGAAGGCGGGGCAGCGTCCACAACAAGGGGCCGGCTGGGTTCTCCTAGATGACGCCGACCTGACTTGCTTTGCATGCTGAAATGATGGCCAAGGAGAACCGCGCTGTCGCATTGCCGATCTGGATGCGGGCGCGGTCGGCTGGGCGAGCCAGCGCGTCGGGGCGCCCCCAGATGCAGTCGGCCGCGCGCAGCGGCCCACCTGGGCGGCCTGGCTGGCCGCGCCGCGCAGCGCCCCACGAGGAGCAGGGCGCCCGAGCCACGCGCCGCCCACTAAACCCTGGCGGATCCAGGCGACAAGCAGCCCTCGCACGCTGGACAGGGCCACGCCCTGCAAGGGGCGGTCCGCGATCTCCAGCGCAACGACGGCGGCGCCCAGGTTGCGGGGCCTGGAGGCGATCCGCTCGGCGCCAGCGAAGAGCTCCAGGTAGACGCCACCGCCGCGCGCCTCGCGGCGTGCTCGCAGCACCTCCGCCCTCGCGCGCAGCTTCAGCGCGGCGGCTGCAAGGCAAACGGCGCGGCCAGCGGCGGCAGCCCCAGGGGGGGCGGAGGCCCTGCACGAAGCTCGCAGGGCCCTCCTCCAGCGCCCGCGCGAAGGAGACGGCGGCAGGAGAGAGCTTGGTCGCCTCCCGCAAGGCCAGCGTCGCCTTCTCGTAGCGCCTGACCGAGCCATCCGTCCTCCAGCGTCCTCGTTTCTTGATATCGGAGGGCGTCCTTCTCTGCGAAATCGCATCGAAGGACGCTCCCAAATGGCGCAGGGAGTAGAGCTGCGGGCGCAGCGCGTGGACGCCGCTGACCAGAGCTGCGTCGTGCATCTGAGGTGAGGTGCACCGCGTCGACCGACCAGAGGGGGCCCGCGGCGCGCCGAGCCCTCAGCAGCTGCAGGATGACTCCGAGCCAGTCGAACTTGGGCCAGTCCAGCATCACGCTCTCGTCATACTCGCCTGTCTTGTTGGCGCGGCCGAGCTCGCGCGCGCCGAGGATGAGGCCCCAGAACGGCGAGCCCCCCGCCCCTCTGACTGGCGGCGCCAGCGACTCGGGCGACAGCGCGAACAGCTCGCCTGGGCGGAGGTAGGCCATGACGGCTATCAGCACAGCGACGGCCTCCTCGTGGCGCCCTAGCCACAGCAGCCCGCCGATCAGCGCCCGCGGTGTGGCAGCGGCGCGCGACCGTGGACGGGCATGAGCTTGCGCCATCCGGCGATCGCGCGCCAGGCCCTGGGCAACTGTCGCTGAGCCTTCAGCTCGGGCCACAGGTGCTGCAGGGCGGCCAAGAACTTTGACCCGTCGTTGGCGGGGTGCCCGCTCTGGTAGAGGACGTCGAACCACTGGGTGATGACGTCGCCCAGGAGACGGGTATCCGAGCCCTGGAGGCCCTCCTGAGCCACGTACTGCTTGAACCAGCCCAGGCGGCGGAGGTAGTCCAGCATGGTGGCCGCCTTCGCCGACGACAGCTCCAGGACACTCCTCTGCAGAGCTCGGGCGATGGGCTCTGCCACAGCGCAGTGCTCGGACGCCTTCCTCGCACGCTTGCAGGCTCGCATCGCCGAGGCAGTTCAGACCCGGAGGCTGGAGAGGCTCTACGAGCTCTTCGATGCCCTCGAAGCCCCTGCTGCTCTCTGCGCCGAGGGATGCCCGACTCTTGGAGTCAGCGGCGGTGCTGCAGTCACCGCCAGAGTCCTCGTCGTCGCCGAGGTCGAGGCTGCGCAGCGCGGCGAGCTCGATCTCGTCGCGGAGTTGCTGGCAGGACACTCTCTGGTCAGCCTTCCGCTCCTGCATCTGGCGGTAGGCGTCGGCGAGCCTGTCGATGTCAACGCGACTCGGCGCCGGTCGCCCTCGCGACGGAGCATCAGCAGGGTTCAGTTCGCTCGGCACCCAGCGGATATGGAAGCGACCGCCGGAAAAGAGACCAAGCGCGGCGAACTCCCTGCAGGTGGGAAGAAAATGGCGAGACCTCGCCCGCCCCTTGGCAACGGCCAGGGCTAAGGCCAAAGTGTCCACAAGGAAAAGGGCGCGCGTTCGGCGGTGAGCTCGGGCCCGCGGTGGGTGCCGAACCGCCATAACGAGAGCCCGACCCTCCATCCTCCCATCCCCATGATCTCGCCCTCCTCCCGCCACCTCCCGCACGCGCAGACCTTTCAGCCCGACGCAGCCACCGCCGAAGCCGGAACCTCATCGAGCAGCCTGCCCCCCCTGGGCCGGGCGCCCGTAGCAAGCCGAACGGCGGGGCGAAACCGAAGATCGTCGAGATTGAGTCCGAGGATGTCAGGGCGAAGCGCGCGCTCGCACGCGCCCGCGGCCTCCTCCGCCCGAAACCTCCACCTCCCGTCGCACCTTCCCACCGGGGCAGCGTCACCACGACCCCACTGAGAACAACAAACCCTGAAGCCGCCCGTCGACGCGTCGCTGACGTGCACGAGGCTACTCCAGGGCATGCGTGCGCTGCATAAGAGTAGAGGCAAGATATCACGCATCCAACGAACAACCTCTCGTGCGACCACACGCCAGAGAGGGGCGACGTTTTTGGCGCGGCACTCGGCGAAGCAGTAGCAAGCGCCCGCAATAGACAGCGCCTCCCGACGGAACAGACTGGCACAGGTGAAGTGCCCAATCAACTTCCTGATCCCGCTCCCGCTGGCCTTCCCAGTTCGCAGGACGAAATCCAGGGCAAGACGCAACTTCCACATCCTCTTGGAGCTGATTCGAATCACCCGCCTCTCCCCGTCGAAGAACAACCCGGTAAACTCGGCGCACTGCTGGCCCCTGGAGGCCCCATGGCGCCCGAGACCCGTGTCTCCGACCACCGCGCGAGCATCCGAGATGCGAGAGCTGGCCTCGGAAGCGCCCAAGGAAACGACGGCGAAGTTATCTGCGCACACAGCATGCTGGACGGGACCCGTCGAAAACTTGTTGAACATTTGAAGGCCCCAGGGGAGCGACGCGAGCCAATGCGCTTCACCCCGGCGGACACGGCAGCTCGACAAAATATGTATATATATATATATATATATATATATATATATATATATATATAATTATATTATAATATATATAAACCCAATGCCACCCCCGTGGGGGGGCGAGGAGATGGGGGGGGGCAGAAGGGGCCGAGGCGGTCGCGCTCCTCCCCCGAAAAGCCAGGCATGCAGGAACCCCTCGCCTGGGGTAAAATAAAAAGCTCTCTCATCCCTGGGTCGAGGGCAACGCAATAAAACGCGGCCTGCGCACCGCGCCGGGCAATCTGAGAGGGCCCATCGCCCCCCGCCTCAACTCGGCCCCGCGAGCCACTCGCGGAAAGCGCAGTCTTGACTGGAGGACGGGCGGCCCGCGCGTCGAAGATCATTCGAAGAGAGCAATCCTTTTTTACTCACGAAGAACACCCCCGCTGCGGCAGGGCGGGCGCTCGAAGAAGCCCGCGACGCCCCTCGCATGCAGGTCGCCGAGGAACTCGCCGCGCACAGCGGGGCGCCTCACAAGCGCCGGGTCCGAGTGGGCAGAGGAGACGCCAAAACTGTCCTTAGCGGGGGGTCCGCTGCCTTCCTCGCGAAGGAGACGAGATCTCCACTCCGCCCGCATCTTAAGCTCCTGGCCCTCGAGCACCTTGGAGAACTCCACGGGCTTAGAAGAGACCAGAGGCAGCGAGACTGCGCCCGCGCGGCACGGAGATGGTAATTAGGCCCGCGGCGTCGACATCGAAGGCATAGCCGGCGCGGGCGCCGCAGAGCTCCCGGAAGGCCCCCGCGGCGTCGCCAAGTCCAGCAGGCGGCGGGCCGACGGCCCGATAGGCATCCCTCAGCTCCTCGAGGCAGGACAGCTGGCCGGCCGAGAGGGGCGTCGCGACGCCGTCGCCAGCAGGGGCAGAGTGACCAAAAAGTTCATTGAGCGCAAGAGCGCCTCGATTGCACCAGACCTGCCAGTGCTGCCGAGCTGCCGCCCTTCTCCTGGCCGCGCGGCATCCGGAAGCAGCTGCAGGCCCCCTCGCAAAGGGAGAAGGCGGCGGGCACGGAAGGAGCTCCTGCGGCGGCCCGCCTGTAGCCCCGCCGCCCATCGTGAAGAAGGCGGAGGGGTGGCCAAGCTGGGGCGGCGAGGTGGCCGGGTCTCGCCGCCGCCCCCGAGGTGCTAGTCCTTCTCGCCCTTGAGAGCCTTCCGCTCCTCGAGGGCCTTGCGTCTCTCCTTCATAGCCCGGCGCTCGTTCGAAAGCCCGCGGCCTACCCGGGCCTCCAGCTCCGGCGAAACGCACAGCATCCCGCGCGTCGCCGACAAGCTGAAGAAGAGGTGAGCGTCGTCATAGGGGTCGCTGACGTCCTTCTTGCCGCCCTGTTGCCTCTTCGGGCCGAACTTGCCCCTGTGCTTGAGCTCGATCAGCTGCGCGCGCCTGCAGGCCAGCTCGGCCCGGGCGAGCTGCGGCAGGTCCAGTTGGTCGTAGACCGCGCCGAAGTACAGCATCTTCATCACCACTGCGTGCTCGCCCACGCCCGCGCCCGAAATCTCGAGGCGCCCATCCGCCAGAGCGCGCATGCCTGATCCCGAACGGCGTGCGCGCGATGGCCAGCACCCTGGCGCCCTCCTCGCTGGGCCGTCGAGGCCCCTCGGTGGCCCCCCCCAAGCCTCGCGAGACGCGCCGTCGCGTCGCTGAGCTTCACCTTCGGAACCCCGTTCTCCGAGAAGACCTCCTTCACCAGGTCCTCGAGCTCGGGACTGTCGAGCTTGGTCAGCTGCTCCTTCAACCACATGTCGTTGTCGGCCTTGGACCTCAACGCCCGCTGCGCCCTGCCGACCAGGGCAGTTTGCCCTCCCGATGGCGCCCGCTACACCGCCGGCTGCGACCTCGGGCGAGGGCGAGGCGGCGGCCCCAAGGGCTCGGCGGAGCTGCCCACTGCGAGAGGCCGCGTAGTCGCCGAGCGCGTCGAGCCCGACCCACTCCACAGGCACACGCAGCCCCTGCGGCGCGTAGGCGATCCCCTTCGAGCCCGCCTTCACCACGGGGTCCGGCGTCTCGGCGCCAATGGCGAATTCCTGGGTAGGGTCGGCCACCAGCCAAGCTCCCGCGCGTTCTGGCGGCGGCAGCGGCGGCGCCGCGAGCTCCTCTGGTCCGTCACCGGCGAGGGAGCCACCGCGCGGGGTCGCCGTACCACCGACCTCGCGCACGACGGGATCGTCGTCGGTCAGCGCAGCGAGGGCGCAGCGGCCGCTTGCCGCGCAGCCTCCTCGCGGCAGGCGCCTCGGCCGCCGCCGCGCCCGCTCCAGCTGCGGCCAAGCCTTCCACGGGCGCCGCCAGCGCGCTGCGGTACGCGTCCGCCTGCGCCATCACCCGACGCACCAGCGAGGGCGCGATGTCGCCCGTCCGCGTCCTGCCGTCGTAGAAGACGTACGCGTCCGCCTCCCGCACCCCCCTCGGCAGCGTTCGGGCGGCTGGCAGCGCCGCCACCTTGCGTAGAACTTCGCCGTCCGTGTAGACCTCGTCGCACACCTCGAAGTCGGGGGCGGCCGCCACCCAGTGCCCCCGCGGACGCCGCAGGGGAACGCATAGCAGCCTCTCGCGGTGGCAGTCGTCTCCGTGGTAGAGCGCCAGCAGGCGAGACCTTTCAGAGAGACCCTCCAGCGCGGCCCGCCCCAACGTTGCGCCTCCGCTCCTGCGCAGCGCGGCGCTCGGCGCTGAGCGAGCTCGCCTCGGCGCCGCCCGCGCCCAGCTCCACGGCTAGCGCCCCCTCCTGCGAGGTCGCGCGCTCCTGCGCTGATGGGCCTGTTTTCCACCACCACCACCATAAGTTGGAGCGGGGAAGGAGGAGGAGGAGGAGGAGGAGGAGGAGGAGGAGGAGGAGGGGAGGAGGGAGGAGGAGGAGGGGAGGGAGGAGGAGGAGGAGGAGGACACCCTCCCCTCCAACTTATGGTGGTGGTGGTGGAAAACAGGCCCATCATGCGCGGCCCGCTGAAGCAGGGGCCGCCGCGCCCGATGGCGAGCTCCGCCGTGGACCCGCCTAACGCCGGCGCCCGCCGGCGGCGCTCCGCCGCGGGGCAGTCCGCGGGCCCCACGGGGGCGCCAGCAGAGCAGGTCAGCGAGCCGCAGGCCGCGTCAGGGCAGTGCAGCGAGGGCCAGGCGGGGCAGGAGGAGGACGAGAAGGAGGAGGAGGAGGAGGAGGAGGAAGAGGAGGAGGAGGAGAGGGTGGAGGGGGAGGAGGAGGAGGAGGAGGAGGAGGAGGAGGAGGAGCGAACGAACCCCAAAGGAGGAGGAGGAGGAGGAGGAGGAGGAGGATTGCCAGGCCGAGCTGAGGTGGAGTGAGATGTAGGACGGTTCTCGGAGCACGCCTCCGATCGGGACCAGATCCATCGAGAGACTTGAACAACAGAGGCATCGGAACGGATGCCAAACATCGAACGATGGCGGAGACCTTCTCGCATCACTCAGGATGCCCGCTCAAAGAACTACTATATATCCTTGTCGATTTCACTGTCGATGTCACTATCGATCTCACGATCGATCTCACTCAATCGATCTCACGATCAAACACACGATGGATCTCACGATCGATTTCACTATCGATCTAACTCAATCGAGATCACTATCGATCCCACCATCGATCTCACTCAATTGACCTCAGTACCAATATCACTTCCGATTTCGCTATCGGTCTCACTTTCGATCTCACTTTCGATCTCACTCAATGGATCTCACTATCGAACTCACCATCGCTAGCATAACATAGCATAGCATCTAGCATAGCACTGGACACCCCGGAACACCACGGGACACCATCGGGACAACATCGCGACACCAACGGGACGCCACAGGGCCACTGCTGG